GTGGTTGTGTGTCTGTCGACACAGTGCAGATCTGGGCTCTGATAACGGCAGAAAACCAAACATTCATGATGAACTTTTGCACTGTTCATTAATCAGATTTAGGAGCAGCAATGAAGCATGACCGTCTCCAGAGAAGCTGTGACTGATGATGAAGCTCTGCTGATACCGACAGAACCGAGCCGGGACATCTCTAATTAGAATAAATTAACGGCGTGGGGATAGTTTACTGCTGTAATGATCTGAACTAAACTGGAACTGGAGCCAGAACAGAACCACGCTGTGTTTGTGTGTTTTAGCTGCTGAGGAACGGACCGAAGAACCAACAGCAGGAGAACCCTCACACAGGACAGCTGATCCCTGACAGCCGCTGTATTAGAACCAGGTGAAGTGGACCCGACCGGCCTGGCCAGAGTGTTGCTGAGCCTGGGAACAGAACAATGTGAAAGTGAGAGCAGGTTGCTCGAAGCCTGCAGCTGGCAGAGCGGCTGATGGCTTCCACATGTTCCCGACGCGCCGCTGACGGACTGAAATACGACTGATTCAACATGAAATATGTTCCTGAAAACATGCAGCGTGTCGATGCATCATCCTGACATCAGAACCGCCTGCAGGAATGTTCTGGGTGGATCCGGGCCGCACCATGTCCTGAAGAAGGTCACTGACACGCAGAAACGCTGACTTCATTAAAGGTTTCAGGTTGTAACCGTTGGACTGCTGCTGTTCTCTGGCCTCTGTGGAGTCTAAAGCTTCACTGTAATCCCTGCATGTCCAACACGGTCCTGGTACTGTTAGCATAGCTTAGCTTCCACAGTGTCCAGCTCCATCAAACACAACAGAAGCCTCATTCATTAGCTAATGAGCTAATCTTTAACACAGGAGTCAAGACCTGCAGTAAAGAACAGGAGAGAAACATCATTTAAATGTCAAAGTACTCGAAACTGCAGCACCGTACAGTAATCAGATTACTTCTCGATAGATTCATTGATCCTTTGCAGCTAATGACACAGTCAGGAACCAACACTGAACACTGAGCATGAAGCAGCTGCAGAACAAAACTACAGACGTCCTGTAACGTCATAAAACACTGTCTGTCAGATGTGCAAAGTCTAGAGAACATCCAGTGGGCACATCTAGAACCTCGACATAAGACAGAGCAAGAACATGTCGACATAAACATAAGGAACCGCCTCAGAGTAC